ACTTCACAATCTCACCCTACTCTATCCCGACAAGTTAAATCTCTATCATGTCTTACCTTTGCTTCATGCTGCCAGGTTTTAGTATGGAAACAGCCTCATTCTTAGAAGTTCTACTTTCAAATGCATGCACATTTTATAGCAACTAATAAAGTATACATTTTTTTTAAATATGAGGAATAACTTATTAGAAATAAAAAACAATGTAACCAGATGATATTAACTGAGTGAAAGAGAAATGCATGGCACAATACAGACCTTTGGATTAATGGTGTGTCAGAGGCATGGCCCAAGGAAGTAAGAAATCTACACTGTCAGAATCTGGGGAAAGAAGAGCTGGTGGCACCCAGCTGGCTTCGTGTTTTCTCACTGGCTAAGTTTAAGCCCCAGCTCTGTCATTTAATACCTGCGTGATTTTGGACAAGTTACTTAACCTCTCTGAATCTCAATTGCCTTGTGTGTAAAAAAAGGACAATACCTTGTACCTCCATGAGTGGCCATGAGGATCAAATGAGAGAACAAATGTGTAAGCATACTCTATTCTAGAAAGTGCCATAAACATTCAAAGTATTATTAGTATCATTTCTGTGAAATCTTGACGAGCAGACCCCATCATGTCACGAACATAAAAATAACTCAAAGGACGATCAGGGCATAGAGGAATTTGGATTTTGGGGGCACTTTGTTCAGAAATTCACCTCTTAATACTATTTATATAAGCCAAAAAGCCCCACCATGAGAGTTCTGGGTTCCTGGCTTGCATATAATTTCATTTAATCCTCACAGCGTGTTCTTTTTGCTGAAAATACCAGTCAGACCTGAGGACGACCTTCCATTTTCGAATTCTCCAGTTGGGTTTGGGGTGTAGGGAAGACACACCCATACTCAGAAGAGAAACTCCCAAACACAAAATAAACACAAAACTACACAAACCCGCCCTCTACAAGGCCTTCATTTGTGTTGGAATGGCATACCAGGGTGCGGTTCCTGGGTGGTACTGAAACCCACTTCCTGGTAATCCAGCCTGCAGATGCCATGTCTGAAGGCACACTGGGTGCTACCTCGTACTGGGGGGCAGTCAGCCCCAGGGTTCCTTCCATCCATGTAAATACAGGGCAACATCATCTACCTTCACCTCCCACAACCACCCACATCAATGGGCCTTTCTGGGGTGTATTTACAACGCACACTGGCATGCTATTCCCTCTGCTGAGGCAGAACGCTTACCCCCAGAAGTGAGCTCTTGTTGGCAAGAGTCATGGTTAGCTTTCATTTCAGGTGGCCTTCCCACCGAGTCCCACCATGGCCATCTCCTGGTAGACAGTGGGCCCTTGGAAGGCAGGTGCCATATCACATTGGTGTTTGACACTCTACTCCTGGGCATACAATAGTCCCTCAATAAATGTTCACATTGGGGCGCCTGGGTGGCTCAGTCTTAAGCGTCTGCCTTCGGCTCAGGTCATAATCCCTTGGTCCTGGGATCGAGCCCCGCATCGGGCTCCCTGCTCGGCGGGAAGCCTGCTTCTCCCTCTCCCACTCCCCCTCCTTGTGTTCCCTCTCTCGCTGTGTCTGTCAAATAAATAAATAAAAAATCTTTAAAAAAAAAATGTTCACATCGTTGGACTGAAACCTGCCTGTAACCTCTTTTGCATTTTTCAGGTGACATGAAAGGGCCTTTGCCTTCCATGCATGCACTGGTCTTACTAAGGCGTTCATGCCTTCATTTACTCACTCATTCAACACTGAGTAACTCTTCATGTGTCAGGCACGGTGCTAGATATAAGCAGCAGAACGTGACTGAGAGCAACAGATACTCTCACCAGAAGGCTGTACAAAGGGCAACAGAGGCAGGGAGGCAGGTTCATTCTTAGTTATGCTTTGGGAGGTAGCAGGGATGGTAAAGCCTTCCCAGAGGAAATGGTCTTTCTGCTGGGCCTAGAAGGATGAGCAGGAAGGAAGTCCATGGACAGAGGAAAGGAAGAGCAGGGGCTTCCTGGGTGGGAACAGCATGAACAGAGGAGGAGAGAGGCCAGATTGTGGATCTGTCCTCTTGTTGCCTGGGGCTAGTGTTTTGGAGCGGGGAAAGGTGGCTGAGGTCAGAATCAGGGCCGAGGCAGTGTACAAAAGGCCTGAATACCATGCTGACCGTTGGTTCATTTATCCTACAGATGACAAGGGCCCATCACAGATTTCTGGGCAGTAAGACTGCCTCGATCTGTTTTCCCAAGACTGCTTATCATATGTTAATTTATCCATTTATTGCTCTCTGCCACAAGGCTGGGAGTGTGTCATAAGCCAGGACAGGGCCTCACCTCTCTAGCACCATAACTGAACACAGGAGGAGCTTATCAGCTAGCAGCCCCAGGAGAAGCCGTTCGTATATTCCAGAGGCAGGCAAGAGCTGCCCCTCCTCCATCACCTGCTCCTTCAAGCCAGAAGATGAGCATGGAGAGCAGGTCACGGGTAGGGGCCTGGAGACAACAGGGAGGTTGTGTTCATGGGACCACAAGGCTAGCCTGACTCACTTGGTGAGGAGCAAGAGAATACAAGAGTTGAGGAAAGCAGAGGCACCTCACAGAGAATGAAAATCAGGAAGAAAAATATATTTGTGTAAAATGATTTTTAGATGATGGGAAACAACCTGGAACAGAGAACCCTCCTCTAAGCTACCAGCTGGACTTGCTACATCATTCCTTCCAGCTGAGGGGAAGTTCGAGCCAGGGGCAAGCATACCCATATTCTGGCTCCAGGAAGTGTCTACCCCATCATGAGGTAACGCAGCTACTCATCACTTCCTGAAGTTGCTCAGCTGGGCCTGTGCCAAGGGACCACGGATGGGGGTGGAGGGGTCAGAAGGCTCAGAGTCTGCACAGCTCTAAGGACAGGAGGCCAAGATGGGGGTTAGCAGCATCCTCGCCCTGCACACATCCGGGGCAAACCCAGACTGTCTCCAGGTCGTGGAAAGCAGCCAGACTGAGCCCAGGAGCCCGCCATGCCCCAGCAGCAACCAATCTCAGCTCTCTGCTGGGCAACTGAGAACTGCACTAGCAGGCCTGTTTTCCTAGTCTAATGGGTCCAGAATCCTGTAATGAGAGTTGTGTTTTCTTTTCCTCTACTCTGGGAGGGGAAAATAACAATAGCGGGGACTATTTCAGAGCGCTGTCTGGGAGCCGGCACGTAATGCTGCTTCTCTCTAACCCTTGCAACAACTGTGCCAGGTAGGGATTATGACCTGCGTTGAAGCTGAAGGACTGAGGTTCAGTTGTGTCCTAGTATACAGCAGAATGAAGACCAAACCCCGACCCGGCCGCCTCCAAGCCGGCCCTCCCCACCCCCCAGGGGCCACACAAGCAAATTAAACAAATAGCATGAAGCTGTGGCTGTCATGGTACCTATGGGATTACAACAACTCCTACCTCTCTACCAGGTCTAGCTGAGAAAAGACAAAGGAGCCCACTTTGAGGCCAGGCTCCTGGAGCCAGTAAAGACACAGAAAACAAGTTAACTGTCCATAGTACTGTCAGGAGGGAGACACAAGTGCAATCCAGGTAGACCGTTTCTTGCTTGGTGCATTACCACTCTGAGATCCAAAGGCTCGCTCAGGCCACACCCTCACCCAGATTACTGCACAAGCCTCCCAGCTGGGCCCCCAGCCTCCAGGTGTCCCCTTTTTCCCCAGCCTTCCAGCCAGAGAGATCCTTCTGAAACATACATCCACTCACCTCACCTCCCTGATCACCTGCTCCCCCAACGACTCGGTATCCCTCAAGGTAAAGTTCAACCTCTTTGGTTTGGCTCTCACGCCCTTGTGTCTGCCTTCTGCTCTCCTCCTGGCTTGTTTCTCCAGCCATTAGGAACATCCACCCTTTGCCTGTACGACCCTGAATGCATTGTGCCATTTCCAGACCATGTAAACTGCTGGCCTCTCATCCTTAGAAGACCTTCCCCTCTGGTAACCCCTGCCAGTCCTTCTACATTCAACTCAAATATCACCTCTTCCAGGAAGCCCTCTCAGATACTGCAGTCTGACTTAGATGCCCTCTCCTTTGAGCTCCCCAGCTCCCCTATACGTACTTCTATCATAGCACTTAGAGTTGTTGATCTTTTCTGTCTCCTGTACTAGGTTTCCTAGAAAAGAGGAACTGAGCCCAGACAGGGCCTCAGCTTGTTTTTGTAACTGTAGCAGTAACTAGGCACATGGCACAATGCTTAAAACACAACAGGAATTTCTGGATAGAAAACTGAGTAGGTCTTCACCCCAGTAAATAGGTCCCTCCGATCATGGATTAGAGGATCTTTATGCTTCGGGTGTCTGTAAAGGCTTATCATTCCACTAAACTGAGCTCAGTTACTATGGGAACTGATCCTTCTACTTTGACCACACTCTTGCTTTCTGAGGTCCTATGTGGTCACAGTGAACTTTCTCGACCCTGAATACCAGTTACCACAAATGATCAGTGCCCCTTGGAAGCAGTTTTGTGGCCACAGTAGGGGATGGGAACAGGGAGGGCAGTCAGCGGTCCCTAGGCTCCAAGACCGATGGCCTCTGGGCCAGCGGTGCTGGAGGCTGTGCGGGGCCCAGAGAGCCAGCCAACCTCAGCAGTCCTCGCCCGAACGCTAACACTTCTGCCTCCTTAATGAGTTAGTTCTTGGCTACTGAAGAGTCCAGCCTTGTGAAATGTGTTTGGTTTCACGTTTCCTGTCAGTGGTCTCCTATTTAAAAATGACACCCCACCTGCTGCCTGAAAGAGATAAGGTACCTGTGGTGTGAAGAAGCAGCTTCTTGCAGTCAGCCCCTATGTGAAGAAAGCCCAATCTGCAAAATGAAACTGAGGAGAGGGACGCCTTCTGTGGCGTCATTTCTTTCCTAGGAGCTCAGAGTTTTCCGTGGCGAGACAAGGGAGGAGGGCCAGATGGGCACTGAGCCCTTCCTAGCAGTGATGTCAGAAGTGACTGGGCCCATTCTTCCTAAAATGATTCTTCTCCCTCATCCCCTCACTGACCTTGAGATCAAAGTGAGCAATTTTCATGGCATGAAGGTAGTTCACACCCTCCAGGATCTGCTTGATGAAGCTGGTGGCCTCCTCCTCACTCAGCGACTCCTTCTGGGCCAGGAAGTCGAAGAGCTCGCCTCCCGACACTCTGCAAGACACCGGTGGGGGAGGGGGGCGGGTCCGGTCAGCCCTGCGTGTTAGGAGGCCAGGCCATGGGTGCAGCTCCTGAACCTGACCCCCACCATCTGGACAGACAGTGGGATCCCCTCACCCATCTCTGGGGCTCGGTCCAGCCAGGACCAAGAACTGACTTTGTTTCTATTCGCTGTGTTCTTCCCTTTGGATCACAAGGGTAGGAACCGCTCTTGGGGAGTCACCAGAGGGGCCTTGGGTTACCCTGGGTGTTATCTCTCCCCACCCCATGACCAAAGGGACAGAGGACAGAAATAAGTGCTGTGGGATGACAAAGAGGAACGTATGCTGGGCCAGAAACTGGAGACCTAGGTTCTAGTCCCGCCCTGCCACTGACCTTGGACAACTCACTTACCCCTCCTGGCAGACCTTAGTTTCCTTACCTGCAAAATGAGCAGGTTGAGTAAGATGGCTCTTAAAGCCCTTTCCTTCATTTTACAAAAGATGGCCTCCTCAAAGCTCAAGAGAATCTAGGCATGGATTCTAGACCCATCTAAAAACCTGAAAATGCTACTTTTGTCCTCACACCCCCCACTCTCGCACCTTCTGGTAGGTGTGGCGGGAATGGAGGCCCACAGAGCAAAAACAACGTCCCTTGTAAATACTGGTTTACAGTTTTAACTGAATTAGAGATGTGGGGTTGCCAGATAAAACAGGGGATATTTATTTGCTAAATCTGACAACCCTACTGAGCTTGTTTGTCCTCTGATGGATGCTAGGGTAGCCAGTCAGGACGTGCTTCTCTGGGACTGGGTCATCCCAGGGAAAGATATTGGGAAAAGATCTGGGCTAGGGGGTCCAAGAACTCAGGATCACCTGGAGAACCTGTTTAAAATGCAGATCCCAGGTCCTACCACAGACCCTAACAAATTAGATTCTCCAGCCCCCAAGCCTTGGAACCTGTATTTTTACAATAACATAATACCAGTAATTCATATTCATTGAATACTTACTCTGTGCATAATGTGTACTTTAGGCACAATACCTCATTTAACCATCACAATACCTTATGAGCTAAGTCCTAGTATTTTCCTATTTCACAGCTGAAAAAAACAGAGGCTCAGTGAGGTTAAGTGACTTGCCCAAGGTCATGGAGCTAGTAAGTGGCAGTCAGGATTCAAACCCAGGCATAATGACTTTCAACCACTATCTCATACCGAGTGTCCTCACATGATTCTTACAAGGCCAGAATGGCTTCTGTCCCAGTTTGGGGGAATCACCTGCCACCTAGTTCATCCTAAACAAAGAGTACCAAAATTTCCTTTTTCTCCTTTCTTTAAAAATGTCCAGAAGCACCCACGGCCCCACTAATCAATCTCAGCATCATGAAAAACAGAACCCACGGGACATGATGGGTACCACAGGCAAATACACAGCAACACCTATGAAGTTATCTCACGCCTACATCTGCTTAAGCCTCTCGCTCAGTGCTATCCAACAGAACTTTCTGCAGTGATGGAAATGTGCTCTATGAACACTGTCCAATAGAATAGCCACTAGTCACACGTGGCTACTGGGCATCTGAAACATAGCTAGTGCAACCCAGGAACTGAATTTTAAGTCTTATTTCATTTGAAGTTATTTTATCTTATTTATTAAGATTTTATTTATTTATTTGAGAGAGAGTAAGAGAGAGAGAGAGAGCACAAGCAGGGGGAGTGGGAGAGGGAGAAACAGGCTTCCCGCCGAGCAGGGAGCCCGATGCGGGGCTCCATCCCAGGACCCTGGGATCATGACCTGAGCCGAAGGCAGCTGCTTAACCAACTGAGCCACCCAGCACCCCATTTTGAAGTCATTTTAATTCAAAAACTGAAGTGGTATAAAATATTTTCCTGCAAACACAACTTTATTGTTTTGATAGGATTGTATTTCACACTAACCATGACACTGAGAATGAACTAAATGTGCTGTAAGTGTAAAAACCACACTGGGTTTTGAAGATGGAATATGGAAAAAATAATGTAAAATATCTCATTAATGGTTTTTATATCAATTACATGTTAAAATAATATTTTGTATATATTGGATTAAATAAAAAATATGAAAATTAGCTCACCTATTTCTTTTCACTTCTGATTCAATGTGGCTAGTAGAAAATCTCAAATCACATATATGGTTCATATATTTCTCTTGAACAGTGCCAATACGGAGAGTATCTTATTTAGATCTAACTCTTAGTTTACAGGAAATGCAAGACATAGAGGAACAAGTTTACTAACAGCATGAGGAGGGAATAAGCCAAATCCAGGCTGTGAGACAATCAACGGGACAAATGACCTAGTTTTTCCAACAAATCAACAGCATCGAGAAAGAAGGGGAAGGAGAACTGCTATAGGAGAAATGAGACAGAAGAGAGAAAAGAACCAGATGCAGTAGATGGACCTCATTTGGATGCTAATTCAAATAAAACAACCATAAGAAGATATCTTTCGGTCTATCAGAAAAATATCACTATGGACTGGAGAGTAGACAGCCTTGGTGGTCCCGAGGCCCGGTTGGATAATTCTGTTAGGTATAATAGATATATGAAGGCCACATTTTTAAAAACCGTCATCAGTGAGCGATGCACACTAGAGTATTTATATGTAAAGTGACATGATGTCTGAGAGTTGCCCTAAAATATTCCAGCAAACAAACAAACAGTTGGAGTGGGGGCAGGTGGAAGAGTGGGAGTTTTATATAAAACAACACTGGCAAAACATTGATCATTTGAAGCTGGGTGATGGGCATATAAGGGTTCCTTACACTATTCTCCCTACTTTTGTATATGTTTGAAATCCACCATAATAAGAAGTTAACAGTAAACTCCCACGGGGGAAGGGGGAGGGGAGGGGGGCAGTCTGTGCCATCTCCCTCAGCTGCCGTCCCACATTGTGACCATCACCACCTGGCAGTTCCTCCATAACAGATGAGGAAACCGAGGCCCACAGGAGGGGAAGTGGCCGTGCAAGGTCTCCCAGCAGGGGAGTGTGCGGTCAAGGTCACGTCCAGGCCCTGGCCGCCATCCAACGCTGTCTTTCGGACTAACGTGTGATGGGAGACGAGCTGCCCTAACTCTCTCAGCAGTGTCTGTCGGGGACTGATGCTCACGTCGTTCTGAAGAGCAAATGAGTTGGTGCAATAAGGAAGGACTCAGCCCGGTGACCGGAACGTGCCAGCACTCCATCAGCAGGGGCTTCCGCCGTGATGTTATTGTTTGTCACATGTGGTTAGTGTGGCAGAAGGCGCTGGAGATGCGGTGAGGCTCGGGGAGGGCCTAGACAGAGGGAGCAAGGGAAACAGCACCAGCAAAAGGCGCAGAGATGGGGCCGCGCGCAGGACATGCATGTGGCAGGAAGTCCCTGAGCGCCGGCCTGCCTCGGAGGGGATGGGCACTCCTACTGGCATGCTGGTTCTGTCACTGCCTAGCACGTCACTCTCCACCTCAGTCTTCGTTCATCTGTCAAATGGGGTTAAAAATAGTTCCCTTTGGCAGACAGACGAATGCCAGAAGCCTCTGTTCCTGCTGGGGCATGAGCTTGTCAAGGGCAGGAGCCGTGAATCAGGTCCTCATCTTTATGTCTAGTGTCTACCACGTAATAGATGCTGAGTAAATCTTTAGAGAAAGTGGAGAGTGGTGCTCCAGGGGTGAAGAGAGCCTGAGAGAGGCGCCGGTGAGCTGGTGCCTGAGAATGTGCCGTCTGCTAGAGCCGCTCAGCTGGGTGCAGCCCACAGTGTCTGCCTCAGTGCTGGGGATGAGGCTGGTGCACTGTTTTTCCATGTGTCTCAAGGGTGAGGCCATCTTTTGCCCCACCCCCACCTGGGCAGGTGCCAGAAACTGGAGCCCCTCTTAGCTGCTGAAGGAGTAACCCTGAGTCTGGTCAAAGGGCCAAGACGGTGGTTCCAATCCTTCCCTATAGACCCAACCTTCCCCCGGGGGTGTGGCACAGGAGAGTCCCAGGGCCTAGCTTTTCTTCTTGCAAAACAGGAATGAGGATGGGGAGCCTGGCGGGGCTCAGCTGGTTAAGCGTCCAACTCTTGATTTCGGCTTAGGTCATGATCTCGGGGTGGTGGGATCAAGCCCTGCATCAGGCTCTGCGCTCAGCGGGGAGTCTGCCTCCCCTCTCCTTCTGCCCCTCCCCCTGCTCACGCACTCTGTCTCTCTCTCTCAATTAAGTAAATAAATCTTTAAAAAAAAAAAAAAAGTTAAAAAAAAACAACAACACAGGAATGAGGGAAAAACCCAGCCTATTGCCCCCGGGAGGGCGGAATCTTGCTGTAGAGTTGGACAAGTGCTATGAAACCCTTGGTAAAGTCCTGGAAGGAAATACCACGCACCATATCGATATCAGGCATGGTAGTGGTGGAAGGGCATTTGATTCCGAGTTTACTCTAAGTTTGCCGCCTGTGCAATGTGCTTCCCCAAGCATTCTCTCCCTTGAGACTCACATCCCCCTGGAGGGGTAGATGGAACTTCTGTCCTGATTTTTCAAATGAGAAACCGAGGCGCCAAGGGAGCAAGTGACTTGCCCAAGGTCACACAGTCAGTCACAGAAACAGGATTTACAGCCAGATCTTCTCAGCCCCAGTCCACCATGTGGCTTTCTCACCGCACTGTCTCCCCATTATAAAGCCTGAGTTGGTGCAATGAGGAAAGTTCAAAGCCACCCCAAGTAGTGGGTGGTGCTCACACATCCCCTTCAGCCGCACTCACATCTGAGCCCTAATCATACCACGCTGTTTTTAGCTGCCTGTCTCTCTCCCCAGCTAGGTTATCTTTGCTTCCACAACACCTTGTGTAACAGAGGCATTCAACAGAAGGTAGGCGGATAAAAGAACAAAGGGGGAAAAAAGCATTAAAACTATCAACATGATATAGAATATTCTATATCATAGAGAAGGGACACCTTGGCATCGGCAAGAGACCTGCCCGGAGCCCTGTGCAAATGTTCAAATCCACAGTGTCCCCCTCTGAAACACAGAACACCGCCTGGTTTTCTGCCCTTCCAGCCCCTGCTGGGTCCTGTGAAGCTGTGGCCTCAGGCACACCCTACCCTTCCTACCTTAAATAGAATGCTGCCTAAGTGTAAAAGAATCTCATGATAATGGGGATGTGTCCTGTCACCCAGAGCCGCCAATGTGAAGGCCCAGGCTGGGTGAGGACTTTGGGAGGCAGTAATCAGCCACTCCGTTTGCAGGTGTGATCTGGGCAGGAGACCAGGTTAAGACATGGTCTCCTTTGGATAAAGAAAGGAATAGCCACAAAGGTCCTCAGAATCTCCCCCAGAGTCCTGGAAAGGCGGGCGGCGGATGAGCCGACTGGGGTAAATGTCCAAGTCCGGACACCCAGGCTGGGGGCACTCACATCCATGCTCAGGCAGCTCTCCTCAAGGTTTTGTTCATTTTCCCCCTAACATAGCTTTTCCCAAGGGTTTCTCAGCCCCAAAACCTCTTCCCTGGAGCTCCCTGTCTCCTCCCAAATGTCTCCCCTCTCGCATCCCAAACCTCTTTAGCTTAAAGATGAAAAGCAAAACCTAACAGTCTGAGCCTCTTCTGCTCTCTCAGCATCCCTGGGATCAGTCCCCTTCCCACTCAGCTGATCTTCCTCCTCGCAGGTTGCTCTGCCTGCTAGAAACACTTTTCTGACTCTTTTGTGAACGTGTGCTGAGACGACCTGCGTAGGCAGCGATTAGGGAAGGATGCTGCCGGAGCGGCTCAGGCCGAGGAAGCCACACTCAACTGGGGGCACTGGGAAGCACTGGCGACACCCTGGGGGTGCTCTGCCAGGCCACTCTCCCAGGCTCTTGCCTTCTGTTCGCTGGGAGTCGGGGAGGCCCCAGAGCCGTCACGGGCCTGGATGGAAGGCCTGTCCAACCCTCCCAGGACTGACTGACATTTTCCAGAGCACGCTCCACATATGACATGAGTTAATCTACTGGGATTTTGAAAACAATCTTTATGCTCTACAGAAGTCATCTTATATGGAAAAACTGAATCCTTCCCATCCTTGCCTTCAACAGCCCTGAACCAGAGGCAGCTGCTGCTAAGGAGGTCATGGATGGGGTAACAACAGCTAAAAGGGACTCAAATCAGGGCTGGGCATGCCCTCTGAGTACCGGTCACTTTAGCAGAAAGCAGAGCATGCCTGGCATCAGACCACAGAGTCTAAGAGAGGCAATGGGACTGGGGTAGGCCCATCCACAAAACCTGCCATTTCAACGGAACAGGCGGGCACTAATACTCATGTTTCCCCACTGGGCAAACCCACTGACCTATTAGGGCATCATGAGGACCGGGCAGCCAAAGGCTGCTGATCAGCCCAACAGGGGTCACCAAGTCCAAACCCAAAAGCCCACGAAAAGCCCTTCTCTCTCAGGAGGTCCTCCCTCTCAGACCCCGGGCATGTATGGTTTGAGCAGGGCCTTGGCAATCCCTAGCACTCCCTAGACAGGCACCCTGAGAACATGAGACAGCTTGAAAGAGAAGGAGGAGACAGAGAAGCTATGAATACACAGATCTGAGCAAGCATGGCAGCTCATGCCAGACACCAGTGTGCAACTGGCGGTGTGGACAGTGACAGCTTACTAGGAGAGGGCACATAACCGTTGCTGACCACGAGCCTTGCTGGGAGGAACACGGACATCTCAAGAGCGTCCCAGACCCCAACTCCTAGGGTTCTACGAGCAGGGAGAAGCAGGCGATTTCCCAAGCAATTAAAGAATAAAATTCTTTAATTTTATAAAAATAAAAATGACAAGAAAGAATCATTTTGTAACTACAAAGGTCAATAAATAATGAATCCTGCTCTAAAACAAATGACCCAGGGCTGGCAAGGCTGCAGGGAAATAGGAATGTTCCTATATTGTAGGTCATGCTGGTTAACTAACACTGTCAAGAGCCCCACAAACGTCAGCCTGGTCATCCCCTTCCTGGGGATTGATCCGAAAGGATTAATTCAAAAGAAAAGTGGGAAATTATGGAAGAAAGCTGTTTTATGGCAATAAAATCTGTAATGGTTAAAAGCTGTGGAAATAAAAACCAAATGTCCCACAATAGGGATATACAAGTATGTGATTCAATGAAACACGAAACCCTCAGTTAAAAGAAAAAACCTTTTTGTGAAATTAGCTAACTGAGGGGGAGAAGTAGAGCAAGAAATTGTACGAGTGCAATGATTGTATACAAATAGATAAGACTGAGAGGAACCACAGAAAACACAAATGGGTGTTTTGTTTGGGTGGTAGGATTATGAATGTAATTTCTTTTCAGTTGCTGGAAAGTTTTTTAAGGCAGTGGCCTCGCCTTCCCAGCAGAGGTGGGCTTGTCACTCTGCTGGGAACCAGTGTGCCCACTGCTGACCCTGAGCCCCACGGCATGCCACACCTCGGGCTGTCCACATGGCTGACCACACCTGGGGGACGCCCCCAGGCTTGCTGAGTCAGGCCGTGTCTACGCCAACTAGTGCAACTGACTGAGAGGTCCATGGGAGAGACGTGGAAGACGCTGGAGTGAGAAAGGAATAGCACGGGTGGGCCTATGCATTTAAACAGTGAGATGGATAATTTAAGCATCAAATGCAAGAGTATGCAAATGCCCATCTGCTACATAAATCTATATCCTGGTAAGACAAGGGCTTAGCTCTCAAATTAGAATTATTTCAAATGTCAGGTGGTCCACCCAACCTGTAGGCAGGCTAAGGATGGCCGCCGCATGTACAGATGAGAGCTGAAGCTCAAAGGAGGGAGGTGACTTGCCCAAGGTCACAAAGTCAGGGATTACCAAACAAATGCCACCACCCCTCTGTTAACCAGCAGATGCATGCATGCCTCTGAGGCTCAGAACATTCCCAACACCGGTCTTGCTGCTTGACTGGACACAGCCATTGTGACTTGTGCCACAGTCCAACTCAAACTCTGTTGTCTGCCAGAGCCCCATCTCCCCATTCCATGAACACACACCTCCAGGAGGGACACCAGGTGGCCAACCCCTGTAGTCTTGGTATCATCAGACTGTGACACCTTCCCTGGCTAGGCCAGCATAAGGCCACCTCATGCTCATAGCTGCTTGTGTGGACTCAAGTTCTTGCCTGTAAAATGGGGATAATAAGAACCTCTGTGTGAGATTGTTAGGAAGATTAAGTAAGGTAACAGAAGTGCTCAGTACAGTGAATACAAAGGAACCCCTCCATGTTAATAGGACACTTTCCTCAAGAGTCTCCGCGAGGACTGAACCAGATGGCAAACATGAAGCACCTGACAAATGGTTGGCTTACAGTAGGGCTCTCTCAATTATATCTATTATCATGATAATGAAGGCATCAAAGAGCACAAATGCGGGCATTTTTTTTTTTCCTAGGAAAGCGCTGGAGAAGGGCTTTGCAGAGCCTGGAAGATGTTTGCTTCTCTCCTCCTCATAGAGAAGACCCCTCCCCGACAGCCTCTCCTTCCCTCCCACCGCCTTCTTACACCCCGCCCCCCACCGTCCTCCCACATGCTCTCCAGCCAGGAAACGACCCCAGCACCAGCCATTGCTTCCCTTTTATCCACAGGGTCCAATGAAAGCCAGGCCTAGACCCTAGCCCTCTGTCCCTGCTACTCAGCAAACCCACCTCCCTTTGACCCAGGTTGCGGGGGCGGGGGGGGGGGCGGGGGGAGGTCGGTAACCAAGGGAAACCACCCGCCGCTGACTTCATTGCCTCTGGGCTGATCTTAGGTTTGCTTGCTGCTGCACTTTGGGGTCTGTGGTTGCACCATCCACCACCCTAGCTGCCCGCCAGGGGTCCCGAGCACCCACTCACAGCTCAAGGATGAGCACCACGTCGGTGCGGTTCTCAAAGACGTCGTGCAGCGTGATGACGTTGGGGTGCAGCACCTGCCGCAGGATGCTCACCTCCCGCTCAATCTCCTCCCGGCACACGCCCCGCCGGCTGGCCCGGCTCTGCCGCTTTTTGATGAACTTGGCCGCGTACTCCAGCCCCGTGCTTTTCTCTCGGCACTTCTTCACAATGGCAAACTGGCCGCTGTGGGGACACAGATCGGCACAATCGGGGTGTTACTTGTCCATCTAGGAAGTGACCCAGTTGTCAGCCCCCAGGCCACACTAATTCCGAGTCATTCTACGAGGGTAGGACAAGTCACGCCACCAGCCAGCATCCCCACCTGCCTGTTAACCCGTGGCTGAGATGGGGCAGGTCCTGGGCTTCCCTTTTGTTCATATGAATCCTCTGCCTTTACTAGGAATGAATGTTAGTACTGTCATTCCCAGTGTACCGATGTGACCACTGAGGCTCTGAAAGGTTATTGATTTGATGATGATGACACAGCCTCATCGTTCCTAAGTCTCAGTTAGAACCCGAGTCCAGTATCCACTAGGTAAAATCACAGGGTCCAGAGACTTATACTATGTAATGTAAAGATTAAAAAGGAAAAACATAAAGATCAGATCGGCATGGTCAAAATACTAATGGTAACAGTTATTCATTTGGGTCTGCCTTATCTGGATACAAGTACAAATTCATCCATTTAATTGTGATTTCTCTATATTCCCTATATTCTTATGTTTGTACCTTTGCTCCCAACCTCCTCCCAACAAATAAAATCTCAATGACCTGAGTGAAGCAGGTCCTCAGTAAGGGAACAGAGCAAAGATGAGGGTGATGCACTCAAAGTAACAACAAGGCCAGAGGACATGCTGGCTGGGTTGGTGGGGTACGGGTGGAGGCAGGGGTGGGTGGAGGCAGTCTAACACTGTTAATAACCATAAGTGGGAGTTCGTCATGGTGAGAGGGCTAATGGGACCACAGGGTTGTAAAGTGTTAGAAAACTGACGCACAGGAGAGGTCAAGTGACAAGTGTGAGGTCAACACAGAGTTAATGGCCAAGCCCTGTGCTCAGCCCACTGTCCACAAAGCCACTAAGTAGTTATAGAAGTCAAGATTGTGCTTCGTGCCCTTCAGGTTTGAGCCTAGAAATGCTTCACTCTGGGGACCAATACAGCAACCATGAAATGGCATCCATGCCAATGGCAGGTGGCCCTGAGCCAGCTTCTCTGAGTGCTCCAAGGACAGCCCACTCCACCGGGAAGGGCAGCAGCCTTCTGTTCACCATCTCAGTTCAGGTGGGCAGGGTGGGTGGGCAGCTCGAAGTCCCTGGAGACTGCCCAGTGGTCCCCCCCTTCTGGGGTCCTCCCACCCCTCTTCCATCATTTTCCACAAGTGCCCCATGTTTTCTCACCCACAATAGCCACTGCTTAAGACAGAACTCAGAAAGTTCTCAGGTTCAGCTTAATGGCTTAATAAGGGAGCACCATATTCCACACACAGGATGTACTCTCTTAGTGGCTCTGGGGTAAGAGTTACACACAATGAAATTCTCCAGATATTTGCCTCAACCTCAGAAAATAGCATCACATCTGAACCACTCCATTCCTAGAATAATCCTCAGTGAGACAGCCTTCAAAATAAACCTAAGTGGAAAAAAAAAAAAAGTCAAGTAGAGCAAGCAAGGAATAGATATGCCAACACTTAAATAGCATTCTATGGCAACCACCTTAGAGACGTCACCAGACACATATTCCCGTATCTCTCCATCCCCTCATCCTCCATTCACTCAGTGCTGCCTGAGTGTCTGCTCTGTGCCAGGCCCTGTACAGGGGCATAATGGGCAGGGACCAAAGGCACAGACAACAGGTATAGGGGAAGCTCTGGGGAAAGAGAAGAAAGATCCTGGGGGCTGGTGTAGGCTGGACAGGGATGGCTTTATGGAACCAAATTTATATTACATTGTCTACTAATTCTACAGTTTCAGCTATTTATGACCTGAATATTGGCTCCTAGTTGTCTACACATGAGGGGATGACGCAGGTGGAGTGAAGCCAGGCCTCTCAAAGCCAAAGTGAACACAGTTAGTGAGATCTCTAACACCGCTGGTCCCTTGGAGCTACTTTGGGCCTCAGGGACATTGGGTCCCTTAGTGGGAGACAGCAAACGCCTGACAAAGCTTCCAGTCCCAGGCAACTGTTGAGTCTCAATGTCAGGACGGCCATGCTTTTCTTTTCTCTGACATCTCAGGGGCCTGGCATCAGCAGCCCTTAAGAGCAGACAGGGCTCACTCTTTCTAGCTGACTGAGGGGGAAACCAAAGCTTAAGGATTTTAAGCATTTTGTTTAAGCTTACAGAACACAGACATGCAGGCGCAGAGTTTTTGTAAAGCAGAGAGAAATATTTCAAGTCACCTTGAGATAGCCCCCTCCCCACTTTGACTTATGAGGGAAACAGAGGCATCTTTCTATATCACATGACTTAAAAATTCCTCAAAGTCTCAAAAAAGCAAATGAGTGTTTGCTTTTCCTGGTTGAGTTTTCTCCTTGTGAGAGCAATTGTGGCAATGAGAGGTGACTGGGGGTCAGTCCTAATATACAGGCCATTTCCTCCCACCAAAAGCAGGTATTTTGAGAGTGGGTGAATAACAAAGCCAAATACCAGGCAACACCACTCATCTCCCCTCTCTTCGTGGGGGAGGGATCCTCCACTCAACCTGCCCTGGGGAGTCCAAGGGGAGCCCACGGAGAGCCTGGGCCATTGATGAGTTTGCTCTTCTTGTTGGGCCATTACTGGGAAGAGGGGAGAATATGCTCCATGAGGGCCAGCCCCTAGGCTGCGAGGCTTTGGGCAGCAAAAGCAGCCTTCCAGGGCAAACAGGCTTGGACTCAGAAAACTTATGCTGTCACCTGGGGCAAGTGGCTACCTTCTCTGAGCATTGGTTTCCTCATCTGTAAAATGGGAATCATGACTTCCTACTAGGGAATCGTGGTGACTGGAAATATCTGCAATGCTAGCCCACCGTCAGCTCTAAGGAATGATAGCTATTCTGTTACTAGTTTATTGCTCCTAGGAAGGCCAAGCTAGAGACACCACAGAAGCCACTGATTTACGTGGTGTGTACTATGTGGCCAGGGAATCAGTGTCATTTTAAAAGTCCTTATGATTCTAGTGCACAGCCATATCTTTGTCCTAAGCAGTTAACCAACTCTTTTAACCCTTCAAGCAATGGTTCTCAACTGGCTGTACACCGGAATCACCCAGGGGATTTCAAACCTGGCTGCCTGCATCTATCCCCAAAGATTCCCATCTCCTGGGTCTGGGTGGGCTGCCGTCCGGGGAACTGAGCTATTTAAAAACCTCCCAGGTGACTGGTGTGCACCGGGTGCAACAGTCTTCTGATTCTCTGCATTTTACAGAGAAGAAATTGTACTGCTGTCACTCATTTTATGCCTTGTCTTTTTCAGTATTCATATATTACCTTCTCCCTTAGTTCTTTGATCTGACATTCGAGGGAAGGAGGATGGGGAGTATGGGAAGGTGGAGGGGGAGTGTTGTCTCTCCCACCCGGACAGTTTCTGCTTGACAGGTCTGGCGTTGAACTGTTCCAAATCAAGACAGAAGATGACCCTAGGCTTTGGGGGTACCAGGAGTGGAAGTTTACATTCGGGCACGTCCTGGTCACTGTAACCACAGCAAATGCAAAAATCAGAGCTGAGATAGAAAAAAAAAAATCAGAGCTGAGGCAACTCTCTATTATGCTCTGTTGACCCACGGATGGGCCCCCATCTGCCCATTAGGATGCTCCAAAGCCAGGGATTCAGGCACACAGTGCAGAAGTTGCCCAGCTAGGCTATGGGGGCAAGGGGTAGGCAGTGAGGGCCTCTCCAGGTTAGGACAGAGCCACCCAGGGTGCCATCCAGAGCGGGAACCCAATCTCTAATGAAAGTCATTGCCAATACTAAATCAGAAATTATGGGATTGCTGAAACATTGACACACATGTGCAAAGCATGCACGTTGCAATCCTCCTGCCCCACCCCACCCCACACTGCAAACAGTCCATACCCAACCCATGGTCTCATGCAGCAAAGGGCTGGCAGTCAGGCTGATCAATTCCTGGTCCCGCCATCAGAGCCTCACGGGATGGGTCTCCCCTCAGAAAGCTTCTGTCAGAAAGCTCCAAAGAGCCCATGACAAACTGAACAGAAGTACAAGACTTTCCCTTCATTCTCCCTGTGGGTTCCAGTCAGAGCCCTACCCTGACCTGGGGCAGCCTGTTCAACTCCCTGGGCTTCAATTTCCTTCCTTGTCAAGCGGGAGTCCCCATGTCACAGGGGAAATCCTAACAATGCCTGAGAAAGGCCTTTACCATCTAGCACTGTAGAAGGGCAGGAGGCATGGGGCGGGGTGTGTGTGTGTGTGTGTGTGTGTGTGTGTAGCTCTGTGCCTGGGGCTGGCTTGCAGAAGTCACAGAGCATGGTTTAGTGACGGACAGGCAATCCACCAGACACAAACTAGTCTCCGTACTTCTGCCAGCACATTCTCCCGCAATTAAGTCAGGAACACACCCCTCTTTCCAGGCAGAGGGCTCAGCTCCTCACTCATTCAGCACCCCAGGAAGATGGAGCAACCTGCCTAGAGAGTGAGACAGATGGGCCTCATTCAGCAACTCAGCAGGGCCCAGGGTGGCACCCCAGGAGGGTGCCCTATTGTCTGTCCAAGAATCAGATGAAAAGGCATAAACCTAGAACAGTTTCTCAGTGCCAGAAACAGTGTTACCTCTCCAACACCAGCTCCTCAACTTCATGGAAGAGCCTGGCTCGATCACCCCCAAATTCTTCACTGCCAGAGAAAAATAACCTGAACGTGACCCAGATCTCATACCATTTAGATTTTGTATAACAATGTGGATACTACATTTATATGCAGCTTTTCTCTTTATGAGCTAATTTTATATTTATTCTCTCTTTTAATATTTGCAGGTATCCTTCATAGTTCCATTTCACAGAAAAGAAAACAGAGGCAAAGGAAAGTGACTTGGTGGTTTGGCCAGGGAGCCAGCCCTGACAGTGGAGCTTGGACATGAAACCACATCTCCTGACTCTCAGTAGTGTGCCGAGCAGTGGGGAGAGGGGCCCACCCCAGAAGAGAGGAGTATTTGATCACTGATATTATTTAGAATTGCACATGGACAGTGAA